GAAGACGAATGCTATACTGAATGTTGATCATGACAACCGTTCAAACTCAGAATTCAAATTATTAATACATGATATAATAAAACAAAAAATTACCATGTAGTAAAGATGAGCTGTTCTGGGGTCTGCAGGAGGGTAAGGTGCCGCATACGGAGGCTGGTAAGCATCATACGGATGTCTATAGTAGTAGTACGGGTTCTGGGGTGGACCAAAGTCACCCTGAGGAGTCTGAGGCAGAGGTGGACGCTGCAGGTCTTGTGCATTTGGCACGACTGACTGACTGGCGGAGGCAGAAGGGGCCGTGGACGTCGGAGCAGCTGATGGCGGCCCAGATGCTGGCGGCTTGTCAGGACTCGGTTGGTCGTACCTTGTTGTCAGCTGTGCTGAACCCGCCTCTTGGGGACCCACAGGTTGAGGACAGTTGCTCGGCATCTGGTTCTCCCGCTGCTGAGGTGCCTGCATGGCTTTAGTCCCTGTGGGAATCTGGTAGTTCGGAGGAACTGAGGAGTGCCCAGATGATGCTTGTTGCTGCATCTGAGCTGCTTGTATTTGTGGTTGAGGTGGCAATGCTCCCTGTACAGCTCGCTCTGATACAGCTTGATGCTGTACATCTTTTGTCACCTGTTGATAGAAATGTTGGTTGTCATGCATCTCAGGACCCCCCTGACCAGCACTACCAGCTGACTGTTGTGGATAGCCTGGACCACCAGAAAGTGACTGATTATGCACCTGAACAGAATGACTTGCACTGCTTTTCTCCAACGTCCGTGATACTGTGAAGTCGAGCACTCCAGCAGCTTCTTCTTTGCTATTTGAATGATTTGCAGAATTATTAGCCTGTACTACAGAATTAACAGGGGGAACTATTACACCTGTACTTCCACTGGGGATATTCATCCCTGGAGAAATGGATGAGTTAGACCCTGGCTTGCTAGCAAATTCAGGAACAAAACCTTCCATATTAACATTCTTTTGCCCTTCTGGAGCCAAATTAAGAGGAGTTTTCATAAGCAAGTTTGCAGGCTGATTAGAAACAGTATCAGAGGAATTAACAGGGCTTTGTAATAAATTATGTTTTAACAGATTAGCATTTGGAAGTGCATTAACTAATAAAGATCCAACTTGCATCACAGGTAATGGCACGTTTTCCCCACAAATGATCCCACTGGCATGTGAAGTGTGGGGACCCATTGCAGGCTTGTCCCCAGCCCCAGAGTCCTTCATTGGCTGATTGTTTTCATTGCTGCTTAGCTGATTAGATAAAGAAATAGAAAAATTAATTGGCTGAGCCAAGTTATAGCTTTGATTAGGCTGAGCAATCAGGATAGGCTGATTTTGCAAAGACTCTGTAGGTGGAGAAGACAACAAACTTGCATAACCAGAACTTGCCTGAGATTGAAGCGCCTCCTCTTCTCCCATTTTGGGAGGATTCTCAAGATTTTCTGAAGATATATTTCCCTCCTGGGAAAGCTGTACAGCAATGTTTCCTGGTTTAATTGGCTGCTGATTAGGCAGGCCTTCTTCTGGTGGCTGAATGACTTCCACAGTTTGTTTAGCAGGTACGTACACCGCAGGAGCAGCAGGAGCTAGAAGAACATTTCCCCCAAAATTAGGTAGCTCGTTATGAGCCCATAAAGTTGTTGCTGGGCTATCACACTTCTTAACTGCTCCCTGAGCTCTTGTCGAGGACCTTCTCTCAGATACTGACTGTATATTTTCCATAACAGGACCAGAGTGCAACACATTCCCAGGTTCACCAGTGCCTGCAATAGTTTCCAGGTTATCCGGTGGCTGTTCAAGATTGCCTGGGGACGCGGCCGGCACAGCTGTGGTGGTCTTGATATTCTTTCGGATTGAGGGGTTCTCTCTTAATTCAACCACCATCTTCGCTTGGTCAATCTCTGCAGGTTTTATACCAACTCCATGGGATCTCACCGGTTCGAAAGAACTATTTGCACTTGTCTGAAATACTCCGGTAGGCTTAGGAGGACTTGGAGTTGGAGGCTGGGATAGATTGCCATGGTAGTTCTTGCCCAGGTTTAGCTCACTTGAATCGCCTCCAAGAGGAGAGGAGTCGATCTGTTTAAAGAAGCTCGCAGAAGATTCTTCATCAGGCTTCCCACTTTCTTGCTGAATAAACGTACCGACTTGCTCTTGAGGTCTTGCGGAGCTAGAAGCGCTCCTGTGGCTAATGCTGCTGTAGTTTGAAGACACACTATCTGGTCGGACAGGATGAGGTAATGAATCAGGTGCCTCCAAATTTGGTCCTCCTTCAGCACGGCTCACAACAGCATTCTTCGGAAGCATCTGACCTGGGAAGGATCCATATCTGTACAGATCAGGACCAGCCGCAGGGGATGAAGCACTGATGTTCTGTGGTTCACTCGGCAGCACTTCTTGATTCTGAACGCACTCCAGGTTCTCAACATTTTCATACTGTGACCCACCGTTCCCAGACACATCACCTATACGTGCCTTGTCCTCACCGACAAACATGGAGTGCTTAACAGCCGTGGGCTCCTGCTGACTTACAATTTTAGGGAAGTATTGGACATCCATTCCTTTTTGTACCATCTCGTTGGCTGAGCCTGTCCCAACCCTCTGAGGATGCACTGGCTGGTGATACAAATTTGGCTGACAAGCGTCAAACTCTGTTTTCTCAACCATGTAATTTTTGTCAGATGAAAGTATTTCTTCATTTTCTGCCTCATCCCCTTTGAAAAACATGGAGAGACTTCCTGAATCTCGATCTGTGGGAAGAGGCCTATTTAATGTTTCGGACGTATCTGGAGACTGGTTTTTGGGGTTACTTTCCTGAGTGGTGGGAATGACAAAACTGGAGTCGTGCAATGGTGGCTGTGGGTAAAACTGTTGCTGGTATGGTTGACTTAACCAAGCGTTAGGCATTTCTGCGTTCTGCCTAAACACATTTCCAGGCTGGATGCTGCTATTTGCAGAGCCATTTTTCCCATTCTTTTCACAACCAATGGATAAAGGTGCTTGCATATTTTGTGGAATACCTTGGTGTACAGGACCCTGCTGTAAATTCGTCTGTGGAGGAAGATGAGAAGTGCTCACAGAAGACTGAGAAATGTTATGAACATCAGTCTGAGAAGATGGATCAGGATAGGGCACAAAATTTCGAACTGGAGACTGCAGGTTACTTGGAACAGGCCTCCACTGAGACAGAGGCTGCTGAGGAGATGGAGGGAAGAGTGGTGTTGCATTGGGTCCTGAAGGAACATCGTTTGGATCTCTACTAACATCTTGTCTACCTCCAGGCTTGGACACCATTCCAGGATGCACACTGAAAGAATTTTCAACTGCTGCTCCTGTATTATAATGCAATGGTACTGCAGGCCCACGGAGTCCAAGATTTGCATTTGGATGCACTTCTGTAGTACTATTTATAACATATCCCGGGGACGGTGAAGGAACCTGAACATTAGAAAACATACTGGTATTTATTCCTGGTTGAGATACAGGAGCAGATAGAGACGTATGTGGTCCATGAGGGTTGTCCCCTGCACACGGCGGTGAAGTAAGCATAAGAGCCGGCTGCGGAAACGCCGCTGGGGAAGGACTCGGCATAACCAACGCATTGCCCGTGGATAGATTATCTAAAGGGGGACCCTGTGGAGTTTGTCTGCCAAATGCAAAAGGGTCTGTCACGGGCTGCACTGGGGCAGCTGTTGCATTTGCTCGTTTACTGAGCGAGCCGTTTCTCCAGTACATATTCCGAGCAATGCCTGCAGGAGGTGGAGCAGCCGCTCCTGCGGGAACAGTCTGTGGAGGCTGCTGCATGATGGCCTTCTAGCAGGGGTGGATGCTGGATAACAAACTAGTAGTGGATGCCGTAGACAGATTCCTTCTTCCGCCCTGTTAAGACAAAACAGACAAGTCAGCTTGCTTTCTCATGACACATGCAGCACTTCAGCAATTTTTGTATCAGAAACAAAATTATTCAAAGAACTTGCAGTGGAAAATCTCTTTTTCTCCAGAATGCATAGGAAATTTAGACATAACATTGTATTTCTAAATCCAAGTCCAGTATTAATGAAGTTTAATGCTGTGTGGTAACACTGCACATTATTTAACAACCGTTTTAACAAACAGCTCCAAGAGTCATTAGACACAATTCAGTCCTGTAAAATTCTCCAACTGTTAAAGTATCAATGGTATCACACTGTCACATTTCCCCAGTTTTGTTCCAAGCAGAAGTATGCAACATGGACAGGACTCCAACAGAACCTGCAAGCACTATGGCAAGCTCAATTTAATTATAAAGAGCTAGGAAATTACTATCTAACCCTAATTCTGTCACCAGTGATCTCCAGCTCCATCGCACTGTTGCTCGGTGTGAATGGCCCTTTTGACAGGTAAGATGAGAAGCAACCATCTCGAGAAAGAACTACTCAGATGTTATTGTCCTCCAGAGAATACAGCCCATTTTCGTTTTGATAAAAAAACATTGTGTAGGACAGTAGTGGCATTTGTTTTGAGAAAGGCAACCGGGTTTTCACCACAAATATTCTCTCTTCTAGATTAATGCAGCGGCGTAGTGAAACTGCTTTTAAGAATATAAGAGACAATCAACTCCCCCCACCTATTAATCAATGTTCTCGCTTCAACACCAGCGGGACTTTGGCAGAGTATCCAAGTTATAGCTGTATTTCAGGGTGGAAAAGGACAGAAAGATTCCAACTCTGCCAGCAAGAACTCCAGACAATGACAGTTAGGAATTTGGTAGGAAGTTCAGTAAACCAAACAAGAACACGCATTTTTCAGTTGTCTCATCCCTTAATCTGGGGAGGAAAGCAGAGTTGTTCTTTGGTACTTGTCCAGTTCAGCTCAGTGAAACTTCAGCAACACGTCACAGTCTTGTTTTCTAATCATACACCACAAATTTGGTTTATGCCACGTAGAGTGAAGTACCCACGGCAAACGTTTTATATCGCTTCTGCTTATGGAAGAGAGACAAAAGCTGTGTGATTTTTAGCTGGGTTTCCTCTTGGTTTAGTTTTTTTTAAGATTTGGCATCCTGTCAGTAATACTAATAAAATGGTAAGCCAGAAAAATCAGATGTTTGTAATCAAGCCAGAATTTTAATAGCTACAGAGAAGCCCAAATGCAAAATGCTTCTGGTTAACAAAAATAGATATTGAGTGAACACTGCCTAACTACACGTATGTCAAAGATCTAGGAGTTAAAAATCCAGTAAAAAGCATACAGATGGTACCACAGCATGATCTATACAGATTTTATTGGACATTGGTACAACCTACCCCAGGGAAAAGCCTCTTCTACTCATCACTGCAGAATTCAAGTCCTACGCATAATCCAGGTCTCTCTCAGACGGCCCAAAGTACCAATAAACAGAGACAGAGCCCCTCAGTTTCTCCCCTATATCCACATATTTCCCAACCATATCTTCAGACTTTGTAAATTCGTTTGCGTTGTGTTAAAATGGCAAACACCACCCAAAACGGACTTCGGCAGAACAGCGAGTGGGAGAAAGCTTCCTTAGCTCCGCGTGTTCCTCGCGCTTGTCTTCACCTGTCAAACACAGCTGCCCGCTGAGTTCCTACCAGGGAACACTTAAAAAAAGTGTTTCAGTGCTTTGCAGTTTCTTTTTTCCTACGATGATCCCAAGGTGAAGGTTTTTCAGCTCGCCGTGCTCACTGCCAACCACAGCCCCACGAAACCTTGCCGGAACACCCACCGCAGTTTCCACACGCTGAAGAAACCCCAGGGTGTTCAGGACATCCCCACTTACATTTCATTGCGTCCGTTACCATACTAACCTAACTGCACAAACTGCTCCCTCTCCTCTAAATAAGTGTTTTTATGCAACATACTGCGAAGTGGGGAGGGAAAAAGCTAATTAAAACATCTGCCAAGGCAGTTACCTCCTGGGAAGCAGTGACTGAACAAAATGCTGATCTCTACCCAATGCTCTGTTCTTCACAGAAACGTTTCTGAAACGCAGTTGGGCACAGCAGCCAGCTGCTTCTGCCACTTAAACAACCTCTTCCAAATTTCTAGTGTGGACTTCACTCCCCCGTCTCTTATCACATGTACACAAGGGAAAAACCTCCTCATGCTCTCCCACATTTTTGTAACGACCAGTCCCAGTAATTAGCTAATTAAAATAAGCGTAGAGTCCTGCTTTCAAGCGCTGGCTTGCCATGCCTATAACAAGATCTCTAAGGCTGCATTACAGAAGTTCAACACGAGGTATCGGATTCCTTACAGAAGGGAAGTTAATATTAACAGACTGCACACAGAGGTAAAAGAATGCAAGATTCGAAGAATTAAGCCCAAATAAACCGAAAGTGCCTGTGTCAGGTAATTTAAACAGAAACTCTCACCTCGGTGATACCAACGTTCCCTGCCCCCAATTCAGCATTAACGGAAATGCTGATTTTAAGAAATTTATTCATGAGAAATGAGCAATCCGCCTCTGCTTTATCTAGTTTGGAAATTCTTAACTTTCAGCAAGTTTATTAACAGATAACGCGGAGCGGCCTGCTGGACATTAGTCACCACAAATAACAACTGCAGGTGTTTCCAGATCTGCCAAGAAAACTTTACCAAAGGAGGGAGGGGAGGAAAAGTAAAATAATTAAAACTACTCTCCAGACAAGGCCATGAACAGATTCCACCTGACGTGCTCTACAGCCGTGATTAAAGTCCTCTATGAAAATTTATCTGCGTAATAGAATAATTTATTTGGGGAGAATTAATTTAATCCTATCTCCAAGGGACGCAGGCTAAATAAATTCCTCTTGAACAAGAATAAGTATGCCCTCAAAGCAGGCTACAGAATACTAATATTAATTCCCATGTGTGGCTATATATACATACACATTTGCACACACATGTGCATGTACACTACACACACAGATCCCTAACAACGAGGAACAGAAAAATCCGCTGCCATCCCCAAGACAAGAACAGCTGGAAAATGAGATTTGCAGCTTTAAACTCAGTATCTGGGACACTAGTTTTTCAGAGGGTTTTTTTTTTCCTTTCTACGTAGACATCTGCACACATGGGGATGACAGACTGAACGCATCCTGTATCTTCAGGACCGCTGATCGCTTCCTACCGGTTTGCTCATAAACGGCGACCATAGTTACAAAATGTTATTTGGCAAAAAGAGCTCGTTGGGAGGCAAAAGCACAAAGCTTAATGTGATTCGTAGACGGCAGCAACATAAACCACTCCTGTTTGTTTTGTAAGGGAGGCTGACTACCAGCCCGTCACGCCAGCAGGTCCCGAACACTTCCAGACAACTACTGAGTCAGCACCGGTTGCTACTCCAGTAAAGCACAGACTTGGGACACTTGACAACTCCAAAATACCGACCCTGAGTTGACAGAAGCCAAAGGAGAGACACGACAACGCGCGTCAGGGGATACTTTTGACCCCAGGGTCTCTTCTTCTCTCCCCCACGCGTGAAATATCACTGGGAACGGCTGCAGCATGTGCACCTGTCCCACCCCGGCACCCGAGGCGACCCCGAACCCCCTAAACCCTGCAGGAACGACCCCCCCGGCAGCACAGCCCCGCCG